TGCTGCTGCTGCTGCTGCTGCTGCTGCTGCTGCTGCTGCTGCTGCTGCTGCTGCTGCTGCTGCTGCTGCTGCTGCTGCAGGCCAAGAGGGGGAGTTGGCTTACGGGCGTTTCTTGTGGTCTTTTTGGAAGTCTTTAGATCTTTCGGATTTTTTAAATTGCAAAAAAGGTCTTTTGGATTTGATGGACTTGGCGAGCATAATGGAGTGGCTAGCTGCTGCTGCTGCTGCTGCTGCTGCTGCAGCGCCTGCTGCTGCAGCACCTGCTGCAGCAGCAGCAGCCAGAGCCAGAATGGCCCTCAACGCAGCAGGACTTGCCCACAGCTGCGACACATCGCCTGCAGCAGCAACAGTGGCGCGGCTGCTGCAGCAGCTGCCCACGCCCGAGCCCCCTGCTGCTGCTGCTGCTGCTGCTGCTGCTGCTGCTGCTGCTGCTGCTGCGGGGGGCAAGCGAGTTGCTGTTGTCACAGCAGCAGAAGTAGGAGGGGGGCCCCACTCTTGGGCCTTTACAAACCCTGGCAGAGAAGACTCTTGTTTGCTGCTGGGGGCCCCCCCCCTTTCTGTGTACACTTCCTGCGCTTGGGGGCCCCCCGCTGCGGGTTTACCTGCTGCTGCAGCAGCAGCAGCAGCAGCAGGGCCCCCGGGGGGACTTCTCTTAAGGGCCCTTTTGGCTTCTAGTGCCACCCCGGGCATTTCGTACCCTGTTCAAGTTTGGGGGCCCCATGGGGCCCCCGGGCCCTTCGGGGCCCTGCATGCAGCTCTTGGGGGCCCCCCTGGGGGGGCCCCCCAAGGGGGGGCCCCCCAGGGGGAGAGGGGGGCCCCCCAAGGGGGGGCCCCCCGCAGGGGGGGCCCCCAGGGGGGCCCCCAAGGGGGGGCCCCAAGGAGCGCGTATATGGACGGGCGGCTGGTGTGGGGCGCGAATGCTGCTGCTGCTGGAGAGGCCTGCGTGTCTTTGCTGCTGCAGCAAGGAGCAGCAGCAGCAGCAGCAGCAAAAGGGGAAGGAATAGTTTTTGATTTGGTGGGGACTGTCCCTTTTGAGCAGCCAGAAGTGGAGCCGCAGCTCCTCTCCATCGTCTCCGACCTGCAGCTGCTGCAGCCGCAGCAGCAGCAGCAGCAGCAGCAGCAGCAGCAGCAGCAGCCGCAGCAGCAGCCGCAGCAGCAGCAGCAGCAGCAGCAGCCGCAGCAGCAGCAGCAGCAGCAGCAGCAGCAGCAGCAGCAGCAGCAGCAGGAGGGGCTGTCGGGCCGGCGGCTGGCGCAGCTGCTGCAGCAAATCTTTCCTGCTGCAGCAATAAGACATGCAATATTTCCAGAAGCTGCTGCTGCTGTTGCAAATGAGTTTGGAGACTTCAGAGACTCCCACGGGCTGCTGCACCACGGCCGCCTTTTGGGCTGGGCTGCCAAGGGCCTCGAAGACCTCGACTAGCTGCTGCTGCTGCTGCTGCTGCTGCTGCTGCTGCTGCTGCTGCGGCTGGTTGGTCTGCGGCTGGGGCTGCTGCAGAAGGGCTTTTGCGGCGGCGGCGGCTGCAGCAACCGCTGCTGCAGGGCTGCTGCTGCTTCAGCTTGTCCTGCTGCAGCAGCAGCTGCTGCTGCTGCTTCAGCTTGTTCTGCTGCAGCAGCAGCTGCTGCTGCTGCTGCTGCTGCTGGAGCCTGGCGTCTCGAAGCGTCTCTGCTGCTGCCAAGGGCGCCGTTTGCTGCTTGCTGCGCCTCCCAGAAGCATCTTCTGCATTTGCAAAAGCTCTTTTTGTCTTTTTTTGTTTTTTTAAAAATAAAATGAAAAAGAATTAAATAAAAGAAATGCATGCAACTTGCAGACACAAGGCGCGGCCCCACACGGCCTTTTGCTGCTGCAGAACCGGGACCTTTTGCTGCTGCAGCACCGGGGCCTTTTGCTGCTGCAGCCGCAGGCCTGCTGCTGCAGCAGGGCCTTTTGCTGCTGCTGCACCAAGGCCTTTGCTGCTGCAGCACCAGCGGCGTTTGCTGCTGCAGCTGCGGGTCTTTTTGCTGCTGCAGCTGCGGCTCTTTTTGCTGCTGCAGCCTCTTCGCGGGCGTGTGTGGTTTTGGCTTTTGGTGCATTCAAGTTGGCAAACTTCGTCAATAAACCCCAAACTTGGCAAAAAGTAAATAATTGGAGATAAATAATTAAAAATAAATAATTAATTGTTTAAAATAAAGAAAAAAACGGAAAAAAACTCCGCCAGAATGCCGAAACAACACTTGTACACCCGGAGGCATTCCACCGCAGCTGTACATACACCTGAAATCACTGCAGCAAAAGATCTTTTTCCGCAGTTTAAATGCCATTTTTAATCATTTAAAAAGCATTAATTGTCAAAATATATTTAATTTAAACATCTCAGCAATTTGTCAAATGCAAAATCCCAAAAATCCAAAAAAAACAAAAATAAAAATCCACAAGCCCACTGGATGTACACCTGGCTGACACAAGGGGCCCTGGGGGGGCCCCTATGAGAACCTGTGGGGCCCCCAGGGGCCCCCAGAATAAGGCTTTGTGGGGCCCCCAGGGGACCCCAGAATGAAGCTTTATGGGGCCCCCAGGGGCCCCCAGAATGAGGTTTTGTGGGGCCCCCAGGGGGCCCCAGAATAAGGCTTTGTGGGGCCCCCAGGGGCCCCCAGAATAAGGCTTTGTGGGGGCCCCAGGGGCCCCCAGAATAAGGCTTTATGGGGCCCCCAGGGGGCCCCAGAATAAGGCTTTGTGGGGCCCCCAGGGGCCCCCCGAATAAGGCTTTATGGGGCCCCCAGGGGCCCCCAGAATAAGGCTTTGTGGGGCCCCCAGGGGCCCCCAGAATAAGGCTTTATGGGGCCCCCAGGGGCCCCCAGAATAAGGCTTTATGGGGCCCCCAGGGGCCCCCAGAATAAGGCTTTGTGGGGCCCCCAGGGGCCCCAGAATAAGGCTTTGTGGGGCCCCTAGTGGGCCCTAGAATAAGGCCTTTTGGGGCCCCTAGTGGGCCCTAGAATAAGGTATTGTGGGTCCTATGGGGGCCCCCAAAAGAAGGCCTTGTGGGGCCACTTTGGTGGCCACCAAATGGAGGTTTTGCGGGGGCCCTTTGGGGCTTCCTGGGGGCCCCTCGGGGGGCCCCTGAGGGCCCTTCGGGGGCCCCTGAATAGCCGTTGAGGGCCCCCAGGGGGCCCCGAGGGGGCCCCTAGGGGGCCCCTAGGGGGCCCCCAGGGGGCCCCCAGGGGGCCCGTAGGGGCCTCTAGAGCTTGTGTAAAAGGAAATCGCTTTTTAGGGGCTTATCGAAACCCTTTTGCTGTTTCGAGGGGCCCCCAGGGGGCCCCCTTAAACTCCCTTAATGGGGCCTCCATGGGGGCCCCCAGGAAACCCCTAGAGGGGCCCCAGGGGCCCCCAAAGGGGTACTCCTGGGGGCCCCTATTTGGGTACTGGGGCCCCCAATGAAGTCCTCAAGGGGCCCCTTGAGCAAGGTGCTGCAGGCCGTGGTTTAGTGCATCAGGCGCACACGCCTAAACCCTAAACCCTAAACCCTAAACCCTAAACCCTAAACCCTAAACCCTAGGCCCTTTCTGCAGGGCTTGCTTTGGGCGCTGCTGGGGTGTACGTACACCTCAACACCGCAGCCGCTGGCTTGCTGCAGCCGATTTTCTTGCAAGTTAGTCAAGAAGGCCTAGGGTTTAGGGTTTAGGGTTTAGGGTTTAGCTAGTCAAGAAGGCCTAGGGTTTAGTGTTTAGGGTTTAGGGTTTAGAGGGGGCTTCTCGGGAGCTTGCAACCGCCCGCTAAGGCCTCTCTTTGCCTCTTCTTTTCGTTGCACCCTAAACCCTAAACCCTAAACCCTAAACCCTAAACCCTAAATCCTTAAGTTTCAATCCTTAGCTTGCAACCCTAAACCCTTCACCGTAGCTCTAAACCCTAAACCCTAAACCCTAGGCCCTGAGCTCTAAACCCTAAACCCTGATTCCCTGAATGTAAACACTAGGCCCTTGACCCTTGCCCCTAACGCCAAACCCTAAACCCTAAACCCTAAACCCTAAACCCTAGACCCTGCACAAAGGGAACAAAAGTAGGAAAAGAAAACATCTTAGATTTTGTCGGCAAAAGGCAGCAGAAGAAGAGCAGCACAAGGAATTACAGCGCCCCAACACCCAAACCCTAAACCCTAAACCCTAAACCCTAAACCCTAAGCAGAAGAGCCCATACTGAAAGAGGGCCAGGGGCAGGCACAAGGGTTTCAAGCTAGGGTTTAGGGTTTAGCCGAGCAGCTGAAAGGCACTCCATCCCTGCCGTTAGAGACGAGGGTCTCGAGGCCGCGCCTAGGGTTTAGGGTTTAGGGTTTAGGGTTTAGGGTTTAGTCGAGCTGCTGCAGCGCCTCCCAGCCGTTGGCTGCGTCTTCCTCTCCTTCTATTTTTGGGGCATCCGAAATTTCGTTGGAGACTTCGCCAATGGCTTGAATGAGTTGGGGGTCTTTGGAGAGTGGGGTTGTTGTATTTGCTGCTGCTGCTGCTGCTGCTGCTGCTGCTGCTGCTGGTGTGCGGGGGCTTGCTGCTGCTGCTGCTGCTGCTGCTGCGTGCTGCTGCTGCGTCTCCGCGACCCCCGGGAGCCAGGGCTCGCAGTCTTGGAGGTTGGGGGGGAGGCAGAGGGCTGCTGCTGCTGCCTCGTCTGCGCCTCTTGCTGCAGCAGCAGCAGCAGCAGCAGCAGCAGCAGCAGCGCTGCTCTGCCAGGCCCTGATGCTCCCTATGACCTGCTGCAGCAGCCCCGGCTGCTGCTGCTGCGCCTCCACATCTGCTGCTATGTGCTTCAAGATGGAACTCAACGGAAAGTCACTGGCCCCGTGGCGCCGCAGAAACGGTATGATTTCCTTTTGCTGCAGCAGCAGCAGCAGCAGCAGCAGCAGCAGCAGCAGCAGCAGTAAGAGCAGCAGCATCAGCAGGGGGATGGGCTGCTGCAAGCAGCCGGAGAGGGCACGAAGGCAGCAAAAGATACCAAGAGCTGAGGAGGGCCCTAGCAGCAGCAACAGCAAAAACGGAGAGCGCAGCAGCAGCAGCAGCAGCAGCAGCAACAGCAGCAGCAGCAGCAGCAGCAGCAGCAGCACACCTGCTTTGTAGACAAGAGAATGGAGACAATCGTCCCCCAGTCTCTAAGGCGCAGCGCAGCGTCTAGGCAGGCTTGCCGGACCCATCTTTCGTCTGCTGCTGCTTCTGCTGCTGCTGTTGCTGCTCCTGCTGCTGCTGCTGTTGCTGCTGCTGCTCGCAGCTGCCGCCACACCAAAAACAAACGCTCCAAAAGGTCCCCTGAGTCCAGCAGCAAATGGTACTGCAGCAGCTGCCGCAGCAGATCCCCTGCAGCAGAAGAAACCCACAAGCCCTGCTGCTGCTGCTGCTGCTGCTGTTGCTGCTGCTGCTGCCACTTCCCTTGCTGCTGCAGCAGCAGCAGCGGCAGCCCATATGACTGTCTGCTGCAGGCCTTTTGCGCAGCTCAACAAGCGCCCAGCCCCAAACCCTAAACCCTAAACCCTAAACCCTAAACCCTAAACCCTTGCCTCTCTTGAAAAAGGCGCAGCAATCAAACAAAAAGGCCTGCAGGATCTTGTGGGGAAATATCTGCAGCAGCAAAAGAGATCGAGTATACTCAATGGCCACTGACAGCATATAAGGCATGCTGCTGCTGCTGCTGCAGCCCCTGCGCAGCGTCAGGCCTGCAGCAGCCCAGGGGCCCCCCGGGGGCCCCCCCAGGGGGTCCTCATGGGGGCCCCCGGGGGGCCCCCCGGGGGGCCCCCCCTGGGGGCCCCCCTGGGGGCCCCCCTGGGGGCCCCCCTGGGGGCCCCCCTGGGGGGCCCCCCGGGTACCTTCTCGAGTTGCTGCTTCTGGATTGTGCAAGCCGGGGAAGCAAATGTCAAGCAGCAGGGACTTGGGGGGCAGGCCGTATTGCTGCAGCAGCAGCAGCAGCAGCAGCAGCAGCAGCAGCAGCAAACAGGGGAAGGCGAGAATAAAATAAGAGGAATGGTAAAGAGCCAAACAAAGACTGGAGACACATGGAGAGAATTAAATAAATAAACAATAAACAATTAATTAATTAGTTAATTAATTAATTAATTAGATTAAATAAATAAATAAATAAATAAATAATTAGATTAAATGAATAATTAATTAATTAGTTAATTAATTAATTAGATTAAATAAATAATTAATTTGTTAATTAACTTAATTAATTAAGTAATTAATCAACCTAATTAATTAATTAACTAATTAATTAAATAATAATTAATTAATTAATTAATTAATTGATTTGTACTTGCTGCAGAAAAGGATAAAAGACATCCAACACCATATCCCTTTCTGTAACGACAGTCTGTTCTCCAATGGACTGCAGCAGCAGCTCCAAAGGAATTGTGGCGCGCCCTCCAGGAGCTGCTGCTGCTGCTGCTGCTGCTGCTGCTGCTGCTGCTGCTGCTGTGGGGTCTGACGCGGCGGGCGGCTTGCTGCTCGCAGCGGCGAGCGCCCCCGTGGCTGCAGCGGCAGCGGCATCGCCTCCCTGCTGCTGCTGCTGCTGCTGCTGCTGCTGCTGCTGCTGCTGCTTGTTTGCTGCTAGAAGGGAGAGGGGCACTTGTTCTATGGCGCTTCTGTATTTGCTGTTGAGCAGCAGCAGCAGCGGCTGCAGCAGCAGCAGCGGCGTCTCCAGCCGCAGCGCATGCGCCGTCAGCCGCAGCACCAGGTCCTTGCAGTTCGAGCGGTTCTGCAGCACCTCCACAGCAGCACACTGCAGCAGCAGCAGCAGCAGCAACAGCAGCAGCAGCAGCAGCAGCAGCAGCAGCAGCAGCAGCAGCAGCAGTTTGTGCGGGTTTCAGTCGATTTTTTCGGGATTTGCGCAGCGCAGCGGCAGCAGCAAACGAAAGGTAAACAACTAAACAAATAAATATAATTAATTAATTAATTAATTAATTAATTTAATTATTTATTTATTTAATTATTTATTTATTTATTTATTTATTTATTTATTTTCACCAAAGACTGCCGCTCCCGCAGCAGCCGGTGCATCAACGCGCTGGTGTTCAGCGCCAGGCGGTAAACGGCGCCGCCGTCGAAGTCGATGACGCAGTCGGGAGAAACAAAGAGGGAAGTTTCTGAAAAAATAAATAAATAAATAAATAAATAAATAAATAAATAAATAAATAAATAAATAAATAAATTAATTAATTTAATTAATTAAAATCAATTAAATTCGTCCAGTTCAAACCAGGGCTTCGAGCGCCATTCAACGACCCCAGGCTCTCCACCCCCTGCTGCTGCTGCTGCTGCTGCGCTGCTGCTGCTGCTGCTGCTGCTGCTGCGCTGCTCGTGCTGCTGCTGCTGCTGCACTGCATGAGCTGCTGCTGCATGTGCTGCTGGTCGAGTGCAGGTGCTGGTGCTGCTGTTGCTGCCGCTGCACTGCATGTGCAGCAGCAGCAGCAGCAGCAGTTGCTGCTGCTGCTGCGCTGCTGCTGCTGCTGCTGCTGCTGCTGCTGCTGCTGCTCGTTACCTAGGTTGGGTGCGTGCAGCTCGACGTCCTGGAGAGTCTCCTTGGAGCTCTTTTTTTCTGTCTCTTTGTCTCCTTCATTATCTGCTGCTGCTGCTGCTGCTGCTGCTGCTTCCAACAAACTTCTGGACCAAAAAGAAGGACTTTTTTGCAAAGCTAAGCTGGTCCCTTTCACCAAAGGGGTCAGGGCCCTGACCCCTTTGCTGCAGTCGGCTTTGGGGGCCCCCCCGCGGGCTTTGCCCCGCAGCAGGGGGCCCCCGGGGGCCCCCCCGGGGGGGCCCCCCGGGGGGCCCCCAGGGGGGCCCCCACACTCCCCGCTGCAGTCAGCAGCAGCAACTAAGGGCCGGCAAACATCATATAGAAATACAGAGTCCAGGCCAGTGTGGTAAACCACCACTAAGTTGTCCAGGGCCAGCAGCTGCAGTTCTCCTGCGCGCAAACCCTAAACCCTAAACCCTAAACCCTAAACCCTAAACCCTAGAGCCGCCTCCTAACCCCTCCACGCCTTCCGCAAACCCCCGCAGCCCCTGAAGAGCTTCTCCAGCCGCGAACCCCCAAAAGCCCTCTCACGCCCCAAACCCTAAACCCCAAACCCCAAACCCTAAACCCTAAACCCTAAACCCTAAACCCTAAACCCTAAACCCTCGACTTGCCCGGGGCGAGGGCGTCGAGGACTGTGTCGGGCTGCGGGGGCCCCGTAATGGCCCTGAGGGAAATGCGGGCTGCGTGGGCGTCTGCATGCACGCAGTAAGTGCTGCCGTGCAGCAGCAGCAAACTCACGTGCTGCTGCTGCAGCGGCTGCCACAGCGGCAGACTCAACTCGATCTTCGCCAGACGCAGCAGGCTCTGCAGCAGCAGCAGCAGCAGCAGCAGCAGCGGCAAGTGCAGCAGCGGAGCAGCAGCAGCAGCAAGTGCAGCAGCGGAGCAGCAGCAGCAGCAGGTGCAGCAGCGGGAGCAGCAGCAGCAGCAAGTGCAGCAGCGGGAGCAGCAGCAGCAGCAAGTGCAGCAGCGGAGCAGCAGCAGCAGCAAGTGCAGCAGCGGGAGCAGCAGCAGCAGCAGCAGCAGCACACGCAACGGGGTTCGCCTCTGATCCAGGCAGTCAACACGGTCTGGGACTCCGGGTTTAGGGTTTAGGGTTTAGGGTTTAGGACTTAGGGTTTAGGGCGGCGGCGTTGGAACTTAATTCTCATAAAACTGAGGGATTCAGAATTAGTTAGGGTTTAGGGATTGGAGGCTAGCTAGGGTTTAGGGTTTGGAGGCTAGCTAGGGTTTAGGGTTTGGAGGCTAGCTAGGGTTTAGGGTTTAGGGTTTAGGGTTTAGGCTAGGGTTTAGGGTTTGGAGCTAGGGTTTAGGGTTTGGAGAGTAGCTAGGGTTTAGGGTTTAGGGCTTGCCAAAGTGCGGGGCTCTAAGAGGAATGGCTGCAGCGTCCGCTGTCCCACGGCCACCACGAACACCACGGGAGCAGCTGCAGCAGCAGCAAGCGCTGCTGCCTGCTGCTGCTGCTGCTGCTGCTGCTGCTGCTGCTCTGTGCTGCTGCTGCTGCTGCTGCTGCTGGGCAGCGCTGCTGAGACCCTGGGGCGAGGCGGCGGCGAAGAGACCCAAGCCAAAAGAGACACTTGAGCCACTTTCTTTACTGCATGCAGAGTCCGTCCGCTGTGCATAAACTAAGCAGCAGCAGCAGCAGCAGCAGCAGCAGCAGCAGCAGCAGCAGCAGCAGCAGCAGCAGCAGGAGGGGTTGGGGCGAGGCCAGAGGAGCGTGCAGCTAGCGGCTGCTGCTGCTTCTAACTGCTGCAGCTCACTTTGAACAGCTCAATGCTCTTCTGGGTGATCACAACGACCAGCGAAGCAGCAGCAGCAGCAGCAGCAGCAGCAGCAGCAGCAGCAGCAGCAGGCGGCGCGGGGGCCCAAAAGGCCTGCAGCACCCCCGGCAGCTCTTCGCAAACAGACTCTCCTCTAAGAGGCACATAAGTGGTCAAACATTCTTGTCCAAAGACATCCACAATTCCCACTTCTTGTTTGCTGCAGCAGGGGGCCCCTGCTGCTGCTTCCGCGGCTTCGGGGGCCCCCGGGGGGCCCCCGGGGGGCCCCCCCGGGCTGCTGCTGTCCCCTGCTGGGGCTGTTACGTACAGCAGGTACTGCCCGCAGGGGGAAAAGGACATCAGCATGCACTTCGGCTTCATAAACCTGCAGCAGCAGCAGCAGCAGCAGCAGCAGCAGCAGCAGCAGCAGCAGCAGCAGTTAGTGAGCCGCGCATGCAGGCTATACTAGCTGCCGCGCACATTCAAGCAGCCTTGCGAAACAGCTGCAGCAGCAGCAGGGGCCCCCTGGGGCCTCCTGGGCTCCCCCGGGGGCCCCCGGGGGCCCCCCGGGGCCCCCCGGGGACCCCCGGGGCCCCCCGGGGCCCCCCGGGGCCCCCCGGGGCCCCCTGGGGCCCCCTGGGGCCCCCTGGGGCCCCCGGGGGGCCCCTGGGGGCCCCCGGGGGCCCCCCTGGAGGGCGGGGCGGCGGACCTGAGAGGGTACTGGCGCTGCAGCTTGGGGTGCTGCTGCTGGCAGTCGTGGATGGTCAAAAGGTCCTTTTGCTGCTGCACGACTCGGCCGTGCAAAGAGTCATAAAAAACTGCCAAAGTTTCTCGAGAATTAAAACTCAAAAGACAACTTTCCACGAAACAGACGGACTCCCCGGAGTAGTAGCTGTGTTCCCCCTCGGTCAGGGGCCCCTGGGGGCCCCCCAGCCCCCCCGGGGGCCCCGGGGGGCCCCCGGGGGGCCCCGGGGGGCCCCCGGGGGGCCCCGGGGGCCCCTGGGGCTCCTGAGGGGCCTGGGGGGCCCCCGCGGGGGGCTGCGCCGGGCCCTGGGGCCCCTGGGGGCCCTGGGGGCCCTGGGGGCCCTGGGGGCACTCCTGCATTGTGGGGGGCCCCCTGACGCGGCGACGGAGGGGCCTGCAGGCAGCTCACAGGCAGTGAGGGGGTGTGGGGCCCCTGGGGCCCCCGGCGCATGCAGTGCTGCTGCTGCAGCAGCGGCTGCTGCTGCAGCAGCGGCTGCTGCAGCAGCAGCGGCTGCTGCTGCAGGGAGGTCTGGGGAGCAGCAGCAGCAGCAGGCGGGCGGCTGGACAGGCTGCAGCAGCTCGCAGGCCCGAACTCACGCGGGACTTCGCTAATTGGGGCCTTCTGCTGCTGCAGTTGACTTGCAGGGACTCATTTAGCGGAAAAAGCGGAGAAAAGAGCGGCGGGGGGCCCCCAGCGGCTGCGTGGCGGCGCGAGCAGCGGAGTGGAAAGCGGAGCCAAAAGGGGGAAAGCGGCGGGAAACCGAGGCACCCCAGGCGCCAAATGAAAAGAAATTGTCAAATGTTTAATTTAAGAATAAAAGCGCGGGAAAAATGAAGTGGACAGCAGCAGAAAATGCGGAAACGCGAACCCGCGATCCGGCGCTGCAGCTGTCTATACACCCCAGAAGGCGCGCGCGTCGTCAGCGGCAACCCGCCGAGATCCGCCGCCAAAAGGTCCTTTTAATCCGTTTAAGTTTGTTTCTTTCTTTTAATTTCGAAGAAACACGCAAACAAAAGTCCTTTAGAAGCGAAATCCCGGAAATTCCCCAGCTGCTGCGGCTGCCGCTCCGCCGCGGCGCGCGCGGGACCGCCGCGCGCGCAAGGATCCGCCCAATAACCTTCGAAGATCCTCTTCAAATATATTTATTTATTTCATTTTATTCAATTTCAGCAGCAGGGGGCCCCTGCTGCTGCTCCCTTCCGCTGCTTTCCGCCGTTTCGCGGCCCCGCCCGCGCCGCGGGGCCCCCCCTCCCCCCCCACCCCAATGGAGGTGTACATACACCCCAGCAGGGCCCACAAGGCTGCAGCAATCAGCCTCGGACTCAGGCAGCAGCTTCCGGACGACTTGGGGCTTCTCGAGGACGCAGCAAAGGAGATTCAAAACGCAATAGTCCATTTGAGTGAGTCGCCGCGACTCCCGCGGCCCGGGGGGCCCCCGGGGGCCCCCGGGGGCCCCCGGGGGCCCCCAGGGGGGCCCCGGGGGCCCCCGCCAGGCCTGGGGGGATAAGGGGGCCCCCAGGCCCCAGGGGCCCCCAACCCCTAGGGGCTGGGGGCCCCCGAGGGGCCCCCAGCCCCCCGGGGGCCCCCTGCAGCAGCAGCAGCTGCAGCCTGGGGGCCCCCGAAGCAGCAGCAACGCACAAGGCTAAAGGGGGCCCCTTGGGGGCCCCAGCGCAGCAGCAGCAGCGGGAATTAGGGAGGCCCTGGGGGCCCCCAGGGCAGCAGCAACAGTGCTGCTGGGGGGCCCCCTTGGGGGCCCCCCTGGGGGGCCCCTGGGGGCCCCCATAGGGACCAGAACTGGCCGAAGGGGGCTCTAATGCACTTCCTAATAAACCCTAACAGACTTTGGGGGCCCCCCAGGGGCCCCCAGGGGCCACCAGGGGCCCCCAGGTTCCCCCAGGGGCCCCCAGGGGCCCCCAGGGGCCCCCAGGGGCCCCCAGGGGCCCCCAGGGGCCCCCAGGGGCCCCTGGATTTGGTTTATATTTGTGGAGTTTTGCTGCTTTGTTGTGGCCTGCGTTGCAGAGCGGTCGAATAAGGAGATTAAGGAGTTCGATCCCGTAAGATTCATGCTGCTGCTGCTGCTGCTGCTGCTGCTGCTGCTGCAGGTGCTGCTGCTGGTATTGCGGCTGCTGGTGTTGCTGCTGCCGCTGCTGCTGCGTCTTCTTTCCCGAAGCAGCAGCAGCACGCGCAGGTGCGCTGAGACACACGCAACCCTGCGTGCTTGCTGCTGCTGCTGCTGCTGCCGCTGCTGCTGCTGCTGCTGCTGCTGCTGCTGCTGCTGCAGGAGGGCAAGGACCCTGAACTTGTGGAAGCTATTGCTGAAAACATTTTGGCCCTCGCTAAGAAAGAAGAGCGGCTGCAGCAAATAAGAAACAAAATGAGGGCCCTGGGGGCCCCTGAAGAACTCTGTGGGCCCCCAGCAGCGCCTCCCGCAGCAGCAGCAGCAGCAGCAGCAGCAGCAGCAGTCCCAGCAGCAGCAGCCCCAGCAGCAGCAGCAGCAGCGGCCCCAGCAGCAGCGGACGAAGAGACCCCAGCCGCAGCAGCAGCAGCCCCAGCAGCAGCCCCAGCAGCAGCCCCAGCAGCAGCAGCAACAGCAGCAGCAGCAGCAGCAGCAGCAGCAGCAGCAGCAGCAAATGAGGAGCAGCAGATTTTGAGTAATGTTGTTACGGGGCTTTCAGGCCGCATGCAGGCAATGGACATAAAAGACGACCCCACAACTCCTTTTGAAGAGGGTATTGATTTGTAGCAGCAAAAACTAATTGGGGGCCCCACAGGGGCCCCCAGAAGACCCTTTGGGGGCCCCAGAGGGGCCCCCAGAAGACCCTTTGGGGGCCCCACAGGGGCCCCTTAAGGGGGGCCCCTATTGGGCCCCTATGGAGAGTCTCGGGGGGCCCCCATGAGGGCCTCTAGGGGCCCCTAGGGGGCCCCCCTAGGGGGCCCCTAGAGGGCCCCTTAGGGGCCCCTAGGGGGCCCCCAATCTGTTGTTCGTTACAAAAGGGGTTTTACAGGGGACTGCGGGCCCTTGGGGGGCCCCGGGGGGCCCCCAAGTGCCCACAGGCCCTTGGGGGCCCCCCGGGGCCCTCCTGGGAGGCCCCCCAGGGGCTCCCCAGGGGCCCCCCAGGGGCCCCCCAGGGACCCCCAGGGGCCCCCCAGGGGTCCCCCAGGGGCCCCCCAGGGGCCCCCCAGGGGCCCCCCAGGGGTCCCCCAGGGGCCCCCTGAACTGCGTGGATTTGCTGCTAAATGATTAAATTCGAAGTGGAGATACAGATTGGCATAAATAAAATAAACAAAAATGAAAAAGACTCTTTAAGAATTATAAAATAAACAAAAATGAAAAAGACCCTCTAAGAAGTCCCTCAGAGGGCCC